CTATAATCAAAACACTTTCCCCAGCTTCGCTCGGTCAAATAAACCTTGCCCCCCCCCTTCCTCACTTATAATTTGCCTCCTAGACCTATGTGTAGGGATGTAACATAGGAATTTGAATGGCGGAAACTAAACTATTTATACGATTTTGTTGAATTATTTTCTTTGAAATTAGAGAAGCTGCTTGGACTGGTGAGGTGGAAGAAAGGAAAGCAAATGTATATATATTTATTTACGAACTTCGTTTTCAAATATCATAAGTACGTAATAGACGTTAATTTCCACAATATCATTTCAACAAATGTACCATTTTCAAAACAGTTGTGCATATAAACATAAAACTAGCAGAGTCTAGTAACGTATTATAATAAACAATATATTTGATTCACGTGTGTTGGAAAATGATTTTACATTGTTAACAGTGTTAGTGAATGGACTGCATAAATTACCGATAGCAGATACAAAATAGAAATATTCAAACCTTCAAAAAACTACTATTCAAGACAAATAACAGTGCAGATAAGATTATGAAAAAAAAAAAAAAAATGGCGTTCTCCCAAGAACGGTTGGTAGACGGCATCCATCTGCGTCCACTCTCAAATCTCATATTGACTGTTAGAGAAAAATGAAACTCATAACTAAACACTGATAGGTTTACAATGTTTGAAGGTTAATATCACACCATACAAAATTTTTAATAATTTTTGGTGCAGTTTCTGTAAAGGTTAGCGGTAAGTTTACGGATTTATAACGCTAAATATCGGGGTTCGATTCCCCTTTATAGATAGAGCAGATAGCTCAGTGTGACTTCGCGCTGAAACAAACGGTTATGGTTTCTGTATCTAGAACAAACAAAACTTAAGATAAACACGAAAAATTGTTTTTAGACATTCAAAATAAAAATCGTCAAGTGACAGAAGAATGCTTTAACCTATTTCTTTTTGGATTTACATATATTTTAAGTAAGATAAAATGAAATAAACCTGCACTATCTATGACTATCAAAATCAACAGGAGCTAAGCCTATCACCCTTCGTAGTAACTACTGTAATTTGTTTAGAGTAGAATATGAAATTCACCAAACTCGCCGACTAACTAGAAAAACTGGGAAACCCTAAAATGCCTGTGCACAATTAATGTAATATTCTTCTCCCGCTCCCGGTGGCTCAGCGGCAAGTCTGAGAACTTATAGTGCTAAAAAAAACGTGTTGTGATACTCGCGGTGGGCACAGCTAGGTAGTCCATTGTGTAGCTTTGTGCTTAGTAACAAACAGACAAACAAACAAACAGACAAACAAAATCTTCTTTTCTTCTTCAATTCTCCACTTACTGAAATAACTGAGGATCTTATTTTTTATCATACAACATCAAGATCAAATTTTCTAAAATTTTTACTCGAGAAACTAAAAAATAACAGCAAACTAACTATCTGAACTAGGCTATGCATACATACCTGTAAGTGTTGTGTATTGACTTACCCGTCTCTGGTAGTTCTTCACAAGAAATACCAGAGTACAGCCAAGGAATTATGTGCTGAATTGTCACGGAGAATTAGAGTAAAAAAACCGGGCTATCAATGACTCGGCAGTAAATTCGATGGCTTATAAAGCTAAAACCCGAGTTTCGATACCCGTGAAAACAAACAGATGGACACAAAACTGGTTGAAGCCCTCATTCAACTTTTGTCATCAAGGTCCCCCAGTGGCACAGTGGTATGTCTGCGGACTTACAACGTTAGAATCCGGGTTTCGATACCAGTAGTGGGCAGAGCAAAGATAGCCCATTGTGTAGGTTTGTGCTTAACTACAAACAAATTATCATCAAAATTAATTTATGAAATAAATATATTCAAAAATTCTTATTTCTACACAAAAAAAAAACAAAAAATTATGTATATATATATATCAATAAAATTCTTAAACATTACATATGTTATATATTAATGAAAAATTATGGATGGTACTTAAGAAATTAGCCCTAGACATGCTCTAGAAGACAAGAAAATCAAAAAATACAATCTTTAGAAAATTTAAATTGTGTTATTAAGAAGGAACTATTTGTTAAAGTTAATTCGCGAAGTATTCAGCAGAGAGAGTTTCGATGATGAATTATTTATTTTGTTTGTTTTTGTTTACGGCAAAGATACCGGAACACAACCGGCCGGCAGCTCTCATCGTCAACCCTTGTGCTGTTCTTTTACCAACGAATAATGGGATTGGTAGTCACATTATAACGAATCTTCTGCTGGAGGGACAAGCGTGTTCGGCGCTTGGTTTCGATACCACTATCAACAGATTGCGGATCGAGCCCCACGAACCACCAGGCCATGTCAGACCTAACAATGGCCCATATGTGTTGTGCTCACCGCGGGTATCGAACCCCGACTTCTAATATTATAAGCCCTGTATCTTACCGCTAAGCCACCGGGAGGTAATTTACTTGTAAGCTTTTTGTAACGCTAAAAATCGATTAGCTTTGCATTTAGCAACAAACAAACACATTTATTGCAATTTGATAAATTTTAAATCTACAGCTTCAAACCTATTCATAAGGACATCAGAGATTTGTATCTTATATTTATGACAAAGATAATAAGTCTATCTGAGGCGTCCATAATTTTGAACTTCTGACCAAAGGGAAGGTGGCCACTCAGCAGCGCCATATTACCTAGCCTCCACGCCAAGAATTTGATTGTCACACTTATAACGCAATCCCATCTTAAAGTCCGGTGGGGGGGGGATGTTTTGAGGCATCGTTCGGATTATAACCTGGCTCGCCAGTTCAGAAATACAGAGCTCTACCTTAAGGCAAACCCGCGCCCTTCACAATAGGAGTTTAGCAGATTCATACAAACACTTGAAACTTTTAAACTTAGTAAATAGTTGTAAGATGGAACTCCTGCTGACCATTTCAGTGAGATAAGACAGAAAACATAAAGCATTCGAAGAGAGTGAGCCGATAAAACACTCGAACAAAGCACTCAATAATATGCATATATTATACAGAGACATAGCTTCTAAGATGCCACGTGCACCGAAGTCATTATAATTCAGTATATAGTTTCATGCTATTCAGTTTCAAGCCATGAAGTGGCCACGTGCCCTTGCATTTCTTGTAGTAGTTCCAATCGTGTCAGAATAAAGTAGAGTTAATTCATTAATTCAAGTATTTAGATACAATAATTTTCTCCTTAAATGTTTCAAAACCCCTACCCCTGATTCCTACACCTCTAACGTTTCAGTTATGTGATCTGCGATCTTGATCTTTGACCTGACAATTAACCAGACTTCTCTGTGACAAACACCAAGTGTCACGATTAATCCACTCTTTTGAGGAGGGACACAAAACAGACATGCCAGTTGGGGCACGAATGGTAGGTGTTAATTTTTTCTTCTAATAGAATATCAAGAATTAACGTACGGTATTTAAAGTATGCCTGGCTCGACCTATACTTAACCAAATTCTGTTAACAGTCGTAATTTTAACTTTCTGAAACAGCCTAGAGTATTATTATTATTTTCGCAGCTAGAAGCATAATGTATTAAATATGAAGTTAAACGAAATCTTACGTTATTTATAAGTTATCAATACAATCACAATTTGGTTTCAGTAGCGTCTCTACAAAAGATGGCTTCTCCGCATCAAAAGAAATTGGGCCCCCTACACTTATTTCCTTATAAGTGAGCCCACCCCCACCCCCAGTGTCACAACGGTATTTCTGCGGACTTACAACGCTACAAACCGGGTTTCGATACCCATGGTGGGCAGAGCACAGGTAGCCCATTATGTATCTTTGTGCTTAACTAAAACCAAACATATCTGGCTAATATGGGCTCCTTTTTTGGTTCGAGCTCCCCCACAATTGCGGGGGCTGTGAAGGCATTATTTCACCACTGTGTGGTTTAGATAACTGTGTCACAACGGTATTTCTGCGGACTTACACCGTTAGAAACTGGGTTTCGATACCAATGGTGGGCAGAGCACAGGTAGCCCATTATGTATCTTTGTGCTTAACTAAAACCAAACATATCTGGCTAATATGGGCTCCTTTTTTGGCTCGAGCTCCCCCACAATTGCGGGGGCTGTGAAGGCATTATTTCACCACTGTGTGGTTTAGATAACTGATGCAATATTTGATAAGTATACCATTCACCTATTATGGAGCTCATAATTTTCAACTGAGTTTTATTGTACGTACAATAAAGATTCCTCTAATAAACATTCACCTATTATGGAGCTCATAATTTTCAACTGAGTTTTATTGTACGTACAATAAAGATTCCTCTAATAAACATTTTATTTAATGTTTATTTACCAGTTCAATAGTCTCATTATTTTATCTTAAAGATTATTCAGGTTACCGTTAGTTTTTGTTTTTACTGTAGTTTACCTATATTAAACTTTCTTTACTGAAGATGTTTGACTCTTTTTTTTTTCTATAATCCCTTTTAATATGTCCAATACGGACTTAGAAGCAAAGTAGCGTGAAAAATAGCGTTTCAGATATATCTTTTGTATCCCACAAGACACTGCCCAGGAGGCCTTTCGTACAATACCAGAACACCTTTCGGATGGACTTTGGCATTCATAAGTGCGTGTGAAAAGCTATTTATATGCAACTCAAGAAATGTCTCTTGGACAGATTTGTGCAGATAGAAGATAGATCTGAAATATTTTATACACATTTACACACTTGTGATTCGTAATCCTTAATGAACTAATTACGAAAAATGTGAGGGGGAAAATATTAGTAGTCAAGTGGAACTTTATTCACATTTGTTAGGCCTAAAAAAAGCCTCTTTGCTGGGCTAACTTACATGTTTTGCATCACTGCAATTCCAACAGACATGAACAAGCGCCACTTTTACACACTGTGAGTAATTGATCTTTACATTACCGACTGAGGAAGATGACAGATAAATAACAGAGGACGAGCGGAATAAGGCCCTTATACTTAGTGACTTGGTTTACAGAAGATATCATATTCATTAATGCAATGTTCGAGGGTCTTAAACGTTTCTGAACACCTCGAAATTGAGTTAGTAATGCAACATGGGAAAAAATACGCGAGGTAAGCTTTCATTAATAAATGAAAACACAGAAACGTAAAACTTAGATTACCGGAAAAAAGTTACATGTGACATAAGGATCTTTGAAATTGAAAACTTAATTGTATAATCAAATAAAAAGGCTTAAGTTTTTTCACCGACTTAATCAGAGGAGATACGGAGGACGAATACGTTATATTAAAACAATTTTGGAGCCTTTTCACTTGTTACAGTCCATGTCACTACGCCCGACCATACATACTCTTTCTGACGCCCGTGCATACTGATAATATCCTTGCAGTGTAGGCCCGCATGGCCAGGTGGTTAGGGCGCTCGACTCACAATCTGAGGGGCGCAGGTTCGAATTCCCGTCCCACTAAACATGCTCGCCCTTTCAGTCGTGGGGGCGTTATAATGTTACAGTCAATCCCACTATTCGTTGCTAAAAGAGTAGCCCAAGCGTTGGCGGTGGATGGTGAGGACTAGCTGCCATCCCTCTAGTCTTTCACTGCTAAATTAGGGACGGCTAGTGCAGATAATCCTCGTGTAGCTTTGCGCGAATTTCAAGCCAAACCTACAGCATAGTTTCTATTGCAAAAAGGACCATCGTAAAACACACTGCTACTCTTTTCATAATCCATCTAGTGTATGAAAATACCAGTTTCCCAGTACCTCTTTCAACAGTCTGATTGCACAGTGGTCCATATGTCTTCGTATGGTATAGCGCAAGTATTCGTTTCATTATCCAGCTGCTTGAGGTATGCCATGGTTGATCGGATATGTCGTGGAAGCACCTGGTGTCACTTTTTCCAGAAGAAAATCCTCTTTGATTACTTTGCGTTTTATTACCTGGGACATGTGGATGGCTATTGCCACTTAACTTTGTGTTCGTGGTTTCTTACCTGTTACAAGGCGCCGCACTTTTCTTACTTCAGCTAAGTTGCGACTTCTTGTAAGTCTCTTTTTTCGTGGTGTATGTGTCCTAAGTTGATCCACATTCCTTCTTTTCCAATTCCGTGAAGTTCAAAGGATATCGTCGTCTTGAAAATTCTAAATCTCAGATCTGTACGCATCTTTATGATATGATATGCGTTTAAAATGACTATTTCATGCCATTTCCAAAAGTAATCACTTTTTGGTATCATTACACTTCTGTTGGAACTCCAAGTAATGAAAAAATGTAGTTCGGATACAATCTGTTCCACCGCATTTCATTTCGGTTATGGTTGTCTACTTGCTGGTTTGCAAATTGAAAATCGTTTTAATAAAACATACTCATCTCTGTGTGTGTTTATTTTAGAGCAAAACCACACTGGGATATCTGCTGTGTCCACCACAGGGAATCGAACCCCAGATTTTAGCGTTATAATTTCGTAAACTTGCCGCCGTCCCACCGGAGGGACTCAATCCACTGTATTGTTTCGTTTTTGTATTTACCTTAAAGTTACTATATTAACAACAGATTAATTCTGATACTTAACTGATCTTTCTGAATTACACAACTGATTAAAACAGTTTATTAATAAGGATGAACATATTAATTTAAAAGTAACTTTACGACTAATACAACTTGGAGTTATTTTTATAAACATCTCCAGGAGGTTACAAATGGTTCTATAATTCATTCATAGATCAAAACTTTGAATTCTGTTTGCTGCCAAGTAGGAACGCTAGCACAAGTAGCATGTCTGAATCTCAACAAAGGCTATAAAGACAGCCTGAGACGAATCTCTTTACACATGACGGTTTTGGTACCAGAGGCTCAGACAGTCCGATATTCAAACATTTATATTGTAAATATAAACTAATCACTAAGAAACAAAATTGATTAATCAATTATATATTTTTAGTCACAATACGAACCGGCTTGAAATTAGACTCAAAATGCAAATACCTATACAAATCACACATTTTGGATATTGTATCTTGTTTTTGTATACTTCTGAGCTATTTTTCAAATTTAAGAAATCATCCAATGGGGTGGGCAGTATGAATTATACCACGTAACTGCTACACGAATCAACAAAATGATCCATAAATCAGAAAATCACTTAAGACTCTCAGACTTTTAGGTTTTGATAGTAAGTCTTCTGGTGGCTCAGCAGTAAGCTCTAGGCCTAATAAACACTAAAATTTAGGGTTTGATCTCCATTGGGGAGAAAGAGCAGACGGCCCATTGTACAGCTTTGCGCTAAGCCTAACAAATAAACTCGTAGCCATGTCGGAACTCCACGTTTTTTCCCACTACGACAGCTAACAGTATGAAAAATATCCAGCCCTCTGGTGGTAAGTTAGAGAAACTGTCACATTCTTTCACACATCTCATATCTTACTTAACTTAGAAAAACAAGAGATAAATACAATGATGGATTGACAGAGACAAAAACAGACAATTTAAACCAGAATCGCCACTATATACCATATAAAACTGAGTTACATTGTATCGTAAAATCTAGCAAAAAATAAAATTACATTTGCAACTATTACTCGATTACATTTAACTAATCTATATATATAGCGTAATAAATAAATATAAAAATGCGAAGGTGGTAAAATAAAGAAATTAGACTTTTGGAAATAAATCACCTTTAAAAAGAAAACCATGATAATATTTTATTTCCTTGGTGACGTTTCGAGTTTCGAGTAAACGCTCTTTTAGAAGACAGAAACAAGTGACCCCAGTGGCACAGCGGTATGTCTGCGGACTTACAACGCTAGAAACCGGGTTTCGATACCCGTGGTTGGCAGAGCACAGAGAGCCCATTGTGTAGCTTTGTGTTTAATAACAAACAACAACAGAAACAAGTCTGTCCCACTATGGCAGTGGTTTCCAAAATTGTTTCACTGCCAACACCTTAAGCCACTTCCCTTGATTTGCGAGACACCCCCTGCTGCCACATGCAAAATTTATTTTGTATAATTTTTTTTTTAATGGTCTTAATTATTCTTCATTTCGTGAAACTCTCGCGACACACGGTTTGGAAACCACTGCTATAAGGCCTAGCGGTTAGGGTACTGAACTCGCAATCTGCGGATCGCAGTTCCGAATCTCGTCACCTAACATGCATAGCCTTTCACCCGTGGAGGCGTAATATTGTAACGGTCAATCTCCTACTCGTTGACAAAAGAGGAGCTCAAGAGTTGATGGCGGGTGATTTTGGCTAACTGCCTTCCCTACTTTCACTCTTTCACTGCGAAATTAAGGACGGCTAGCGCAGATAGCTCTCGAGTAGCTTTGTGTGTAATTGAAGAGGCAAACAAACAGGTTCAATAAGATACACATAAATATAATTGTGTGTGTTAGTAATAAACATACAAAATAAGAACCTAAGATCGTCACGTGGGCGAAAGTCATCAGAAGCTACAAAAGAACGAATTGAAAAATATGAATTTTAATCCAAATACGAATCAAAACAAAACGTACCGTTAAACGTATACTTCAAACTTGACGACGTAAATCCTTGAGAAATTCCACAATCACCTGAACCTAACCTTCTATTAATTTCAGTTTAGTTCGTCTGTTATTTGAATGTTTGTATGCAGTTACACGCCACTTATGACTTATCGTTTTTGAATGTTTGTATGCAGTTACACGCCACTTATGACTTATCGTTTTTGAACGTTTGTATGCAGTTACACCCCACTTATGACTTATCGTTTTTGAACGTTTGTATGCAGTTACACACCACTTATGACTTA